GAAAGCGTAAGAACACAGCAAATTAACAACCACACCAAAGCAAAAACAAAACCCAGCAGGCATGAAACTAAATCTTGTAACTCCAGTGTCTAGCATCTGAGGTTTGACATAGTCTTCTGTGTTCCAAAGAAACTGGGAAACCATAACCACTCCAGGACATCAGTTCCTTTGGCTTAAACCAGCTCTGCTCTGCGCCACACCTGCAGCTCTCTTTGGTGGTTGTCTCATGGCCCTGACATCTCCAAAATTCTGCAGTCTCCAGTGACACTGAAGCTTCACCTTCACAGTTCCACACACTAGCCTCTCAGGGCTGCACATGAAATGCCACCCTACTACACAGTGCCTAGCCTCAGCTAAACTCCAATACCTCCAAAATCCTGCATAATTTATGCTTTTAAAAATAGTATTCTGCATATGACACTTAAATTGTCAATTTCTGCTGCCAACGCCAGACATAGCCTGGTCCTATTGGCCACAGTGGTATTAGCTTCTGTCTGCTGGCCTGGAGAAACTACTTCCCTGTTTCCCCACTACATTGCAGTAACTTCAATAGTAGTGTTGATTTCAGTGTCGATTATTGTTGCTTCCTCAGCACCAACCTGAATAACCTTCAATACTGAGATTTACCTTACCAAACAAACCCATCATCTTTAATGTAAACTCTAAAATTCTCAGGACAAATTGAAGACAAATTCTTAACAAAGGTATCACAAAAATTATGCCCATCTTTGTTCTTGATTGAGTCCTTGTTTATTGGTAAAATCATTAAGGCCACTCCACGTAGTTAAAAGGAGATTTATTTAATGGCGTAACTTACAAATTAAGGGATAGGTAGGTCGCGGGGTCTGGGGAAGGTGTATCGCAGTCCAGCGGTATTCTCCAGCTCTGCTTGGCCCACCTCCACCATCCAGGGTCCCAGCACAGAGAGAGCGCAGCCCATCCAGATCTCAGGTCTCCAGGCACCTCCCTTGGCCCCGCCTTGTAGGTGTGACAGTTGCCAAAGTCTCAATGGGGGTTGGAACTTCCAGATCAAATCTGGAATGGCTACCCACTACACTTGTTCCCCTCTGAAATCTGGTGACATGAGCCTTCACTGGTCTCATATTTCCCAGCATTCTCATCTTTCATGCTCCCTCAAGAACAGACCATCAGTTCTGCCCAAAGCACTCAATGGCTTGTCCAATCCAAACTTTCAAACTCTTCTACGCTTTGTCTCACAAAATTGGTTTCAAATGTTCAAAATCCACATGGTCATGTTCATTACAGCAATGACTCCACTTCCATGGTACCAAGTTCTGTTCCTAATTCATTTCATAGGGAATCATTAAACTATAATACAAATCTGGGGAAAAAAGAAAAGCTGAGCTTTCAAAGATTATGGCTCTTCAAAAAAGAGATATTTATTGCTGGTAATTAAGTAAATAGAGGGACTAAGAAAAAGAGAATCAGTACAGTTCAGAGTAAACTATGGAACATGATAAAGGACTGATTAATAAGCAAAGAATAGTATTTCTAGAAAATACTGAAAAGGGGAATAAAGATGGAGCAGTGACTATAGAATTGATTTGTCTTCAACATAATGTATCTCTCATTCTTCCTGAAGACACTGTTTCTTATAGTTAAAGGTGACATTTGAATGATCTTTTGCAGAAATATGTTGGTAAAGAACTTTGTGATGTCCCTTCAAGGAAAAAAATTAAAAGGGGAGCTTGGCTACCACTTATTTCAGAAATCAGATAAAAAATGCTCAAATGAATAAATTAGTGAATTAATACTATTTTAATGACAACTATAGGCAACTTAAGTATTAAGCTTTTATCATAAAGTCAGTTTTGATTTTACTGACTCAGCAGCCTGGATTTTCCCAGATGGGATGAGGTCTTTGGCTCTCAGGTTTTCTCAAACATTTTTTATTACATTGTCAAGAGCAGCAACAAAATGACTTGCCTTTCTCCCAAACTAATAAAATTGAAAGATAGGTGCAAAGAAAGCTTCACAACTGAATACCCCAGATCAAGTGTAGCGTTTGAATATATTTCTAATTGTTGGAAACAAATAGCCTGATTTTTTTTATCCAAATAAATGAATACACTCCTTCACTGAGAAGAGAATTTAGTCTAGCCACACTATGCTTGCTGTTTCCATAGGATTGTTGAGTTATAAAAAATGAATTCAAGCATCGCTGAATAGCCTTGCCTATTCTCAGTTGTTAAGTATATTATAATTTGTGGTTATTTTGGTTTTATCGACATGGAAATCAGTGGCCACTGATTAATTCTATTTTCCCACTCCACTATTCCCCTTATTTTCATCAAGAAGTTTGTCCATGATGGAAAATAAATATTCCTGACTGTTTTCTTTTAAATAAGAATCCTTTATAATGCCATTCTTTAAAAAAAAAGTTCAAAACTATCATTCAGCCGTTGAGGACAAAAATACTCCTGCTGGATAGATTCTCTAGGGTCTGTGTCTACTTTTTGAAACATCAATATATGCAAGTCTTTAAAATGGGTTAAAAACAGACTTGATTGTAGTGGATCCATACAACAATGGGCCATCTGTTTCATTAAATCTTTAACAGTGCTCAATCCTTTACTTCCTCTTGGATAAATGTAGTTTACCCCCAAAATTGTTGAGTTTCAGCCAGACTAATTCACAACCCTCTTCAAGAGTTGTTCTCTTGCTAAATCGCTGAGCATCAGCTGGCTCAATCACTGAATCACAACTATGAGAATATCATTACCTCCCTCTTCCCCACATACCCCTTATTTAATAGTCTATTTTCTCTAGTAAATGGAAGCAGCTGAAATAAATTTGAACATAAATAAGAGTTTTATACAGAATAATTCATTGTAAAGTACTGTTACAAGATGTGTGTACAGTTAAGTATCATGTGAACAAGTATATATTATGTATGTATATATGTATGTTTATGTGTATGTATGTACTGTGATGGCTTACCTTTTTAATAATTTTAATGTCATGTACTTAGAACATGGCACCAAAATATTGTGGCATCTACTACTGTTTAATTTCTTATCAGTCTTTCCACTACCTTTTTTCTCTTTCAAGAAATTTCTTGTGTTCTTTTTGTTTGTTTGTTTGTTTTGTTTTTCGAGACAGGGTTACTCTGTGTAGCTTTGCACCTTTCCTGGAACTCGCTTTGGAGACCAGGCTGGCCTCGAACTCACAGAGATCCGCCTGCCTCTGCCTCCCGAGTGCTGGGATTAAAGGCATGCGCCACCACCGCCCGGCTGATTTCTTGTGTTCTATAGCTAACTTCTTCCACTGATATCACCCCATGTTTCACCACGTGAAAAATCGTCCTAACTAAATCTTAAAGGCTAACGAGTTTTGCTTGCTTACTTAAATAATCAAATAGAGACTGAATAGGACTATTTGTTCATATGTGAATGAAAACTGTAAATGAGGTCTTGTTGTACCCAGAAACTGAGGTGTGTTATATAAGTTTTGGGAAGCAACTGCTATGAATCTATTATCTTAAATACCCCAGAACTTAATTTTGTGTATCAGCACTCATCTAGCACAAAAAGGGACAACCAAAGGGGATTTCTGAATGGAATATTAAGATTGATGGGCTCAAGAATAGATTCTTCTGTCATCAGGATATTTTGATAGTTAAGCAAGATGAAATTCACACAGTGAGTCAAAAAGAAATGCCCAGTAACACAACAAAATGCAATAGAATACACTGTCTCACAGCAACTCTTTTTTGCCTTACATAGACAATACAGTCCATAGAAACATGGAGAAGACATAGGTCACAGTTATATCCCAACTCCTAATCCTAGAGCTCTTTACGTTAAGCAATTGGAATTAATAATATTTATTCATCATGATGTTTTTAGTATGAGCATGGGTGTGACATTAGATTTATAATATCAGGGGATCTTTTGGGTACCAACCTTAAAGGAAGACTAAAGGTGATCATAGTTAAGTCAAAGACATAGAACTTACTGTCATTATTCAGAAAGTAAATAACTGAAACACAACATACTGCCCCTAGATAGAGAGAAGGCAGAACTTATATAAAGGATTTTTGGGGAAAACTTTCAATTAAAATTATGAGAAAGTGAACATGATGCTGTCCAATAAATCCTGTTTCTTAAATATGGAAATTGATAATATTACATATATTGAACATGGAACTGAAATTTATGGCAGTAGATTTGTAGAGTATAAAATCTGGGTTTCATTTAGAAACATCAAATTTGATATGACTGGTGTATCTGAATAAACAAGAAGATGTCGTCAAAATTTAAAAGTACAAAATAGATACTAAACTGTGAAATAGTATAATGGAGCAGCAATATGAATATCCACCTCTGAATAGGAGCATTTTGCTTAAAAGTTTAAAAATGACAAAGAAGTAATCCTGAATTTGTTTTTAATATTCCCTAAAAGTTAGATTAAAAATGTAAAAGACTTTTCACTTCTCGAATGCTGCATATTCCAGCTCACAGATTGTTTACTTTCTTTCTGAATTCCCATATCAACCCTTGTTCATGTCACTGTCAATCTGAAATTACAGTGTTCTCTATTTTTCACTTCAAATGCATACACACACATGCACAAAATCACTTTGGGTAGGATTCATTGTATTCTATCTGCATATTCTAAAACACTTTTACCCAGTAATTCACAGAAAAGATATGTACCTCAAATATGATTTTTACACATGAAAGTTTTAATAAAACATATTGAATCCACATATATGAGTTTTGAATGGAAGGTTACTGTTGTTACTGAGATTGAAATCTGCCAGTGATAGCGGTCAGCCCAGTGGCAGACATAGAATAGTACAATGGTGCCACTGTGGATCAACAGAAGCTTGAACTGAAGGAGATTACAGGTCACTGGTTTGTCTGCTCAGGCTTACATAATGAGACAATTGGCTGAGCACCTTCTGAGTGACCAATGATAATATCAATAACAACCAAAGCTAATGTTCTCTGGAGTCACTGAAATTCATAGGAAGCATGAATGAGCTCATGCCTTGGTAAGGAATCAATTCTCTTAGCCATGGTGATTACACCATTATTGACGAAACATATAAACCAAAAGATTTTACCTTACTTAGAGTATGTCATTAGGGAAGAAGAATCAAAATATCCACATTTATTTCTTATCCATTTTGCCATGACTCACTTCATTTTGAGCTTCAGATATAACACTAATCTTCACACATATTATCTAAGCTTGATTTTTACTATACTGTACTAAGCAGGGTTCTCCAGAGGAATAGAATTAATAAAATGAGTATATAATGTAAGAGGAGATTACCTAATAGGAGTGTAACACTCCAACAATTATTATCTATACTCTAAGGAGACTGAGAACCAAGGAGCTGGTTAGTCTGTGAGTCTTGATGTCTGAATAGTCTTAATCTGGTGCTAGTGTTCTAAGGAACAAGGTGCTTAGGTCAGCGAAGATGAGTGGCAGTAGAATCAACAATGGTCCATACATACCAAAAAGAGACAGAATGGCTTAGGATTACTGTCGCTGGGATGAGACGCCATTACCAAAAGCAACTGGGGGAGGAAAGGGTTTATTTGGATTACACTTTCATAACACTGATCATCATCAAAGGAAATCGGGGCAGAAATTCAAACAGGGCAGTAACTTAGAGGCAGGGGATTATGCAGAGTCCACAAAGGGGTGCTGCTTACTGGCTTATGCCCCATGGCTTGCTCAGCTTGCTGTCATATAATATCCAGGACCACCTGCCTGCAGCGGCTCCACCTACAATGGGCTGGGCACTCAATCATAAATCACTAATTAAAAAATGTCCTAAAGGCTTGCCTAGATCCTAGTCTTATGGAGTCATTTTCTCAGTTGAGGCTCCTTTCTCTCCAGTGACTTAAGCTTGTTTCAAGTTGACATAAAACTAGCCAACAGGGAGTATCTGGCAGGCATGCAAGTACCACTGCTTTCCCTCAGTCCTCATAGCATATGATCTACCGCAAGAGGCTAGTGGCCATCTGCTAAACTATATATTCTCCTCAGTCAATTATTTATGAATACCCTCTCAGACATGCCCAGAGCTAATTCTCTTAGTTGATTCCTGGTCCAACCAAGTTGACAATCAAGATTAACTATGAATAGCCATATATTTCAATAATGTTAACCCATTAGAGAATTTATTGACTAAGCTCCATCTCTCTAAATTTGTGTATTTTATTCCTCAATTAAAAATATATGAATTTACACCAGAAAATATTATGTTTTTGTAAGTTATTCATTAAGGAAGTCTATTTAGTTTTAAAAATTCATATTCACACCTTTAATCCCAACACTCAGGAGGCAGAGGCTTGCAGATCTCTGTGAGTTCGAGGCCAGCCTGGTCTACAAAGCATCCTAGAAGTTGTGAATCTCTCCTGGTGCTTTGAGTTCACTGAAAAACATGTGCAAGCAGCTGTGGCACATTTATCAGCGACCATCAGCCAGCTCAACCTCAGTGGCTACCGAAAGAACCTCCAGAAAACAGATCTTTGTACCATAATTAAACGGTGCCCCAACCTTGTCCGCCTCGACTTAAGTGACAGTATCATGCTAAAGAATGACTGCTTTCCAGAATTTTTTCAACTCAACTACCTCCAACACCCCTCACTCAGCCGGTGCTATGATATAATACCTGAAACTCTACTTGAACTCGAAGAAATTCCCACACTAAAAACACTGCAGGTCTTTGGAATCGTGCCGGATGGCACCCTTCAGCTGTTGAGAGAAGCCCTTCCTCATCTGCAGATTAATTGTGCCTATTTCACCACCATTGCAAGGCCAACTATGGACAACAAAAAGCACCCGGAGATTTGGGGTATCAAGTGCCGACTGACTCTGCAAAAGCCCAGTTGTGTATGAAGTGCTTGCTGCAGGGCGGTGTCTCCTTCTCCTCTGGAATGAGGAACACAGGCAGCAAATCCACTTGCTGGAGACCTTGGTTACCTTTCCTGTTGGTTTTACCTTAGCCTTCATTATGCGTGTATGTTAGGGAGCCATTTGCAAGGGAGAACTATAAAGTGTTGCTTTTTCAAGAATACAGAGACAATTCCGTCAGTGCTGTGCCCTCAGAAGCCATGTGTTATTACGTCTTTGGAAATTTTAGGTGAACCTGTTATTTCAAAATAGCTTTTTAAAGCAAAATTTGAGCCAACTCTTCCAAGTGCCCTTCAGATTAAGTCTATTTAGAATCACATTTTTAAAATTACCCCTGGCTAACAGTTTCCATGGTGTTTGTCATAACTTTTTATCTATTTAATTATTCAGTATTTTATAAAACTTGATTTTGAAGATCTTTCTTGATGAAGTGAATAGAGGTAAGGAGGAAAGTTAGTTTGAAAATAGGAAGTTATTAAATAAAAATCAAACCCTGTAGTAACCAACATGCTAATTATTATCACCTTCTCATGAAATTGTAAATAATGTCAGAAGTAAGTCCTCCATGTGAAAAGTCATGGTATATCTAGCTTCTAAATGGTTATAAAAGTTATAGTTGATATTCAAATATATACATATATGAAAACATATATATATACATATGTATTTGAAATATACATATATGTTTCAAATCATCATGTTTTCACTTATTCTATAATGAACACCATTTCCTCACCGAAGTTACTTTGAATAACTTCCTATTATATTCTTATTCAGGACACATGAACTCATAGAAATGTGCTCATTTCAAAATATTCATGTGTAAGGAACATGAACATTCTGGGAGCAGGTTTTAATATTCCTTAATATAAACACTAAATGATAGCACAGAGGTTGTTAAAAAAAATCAAGTCACTTATATCAATCTGTGCCTACCTGTAACATTTATACACAAATTTAAAACAGTGAAACACAGACTTGTCAAGTGCAATGTTTTGTGTAGCAGACACATATCGGTGGAATTTAGCAAATAAGAATTACATGTAGATTTTTTACTTAGAAAGGCTACATCTTGTCTTATCTCATTATTCTATATATTTTCTGACCATGAGTTTACTTCCTTGAATAATATATATTTATTGACTAAATGTGTGATGGTTTTTGTTCATTGTCCACTTCACAAAATCTAGGATCACTTTGGAGGCAAATCTGTAGATGTCTGTGAGGGATTTTCTATGTCAGGTATCCAAAACTTATTAATTTCTGATATTTATTTACATTTGTGTGAAAATGAAATGATGAATAACAATTTCAGATAATAAACTAAAAGGAATAATTACAAACCATAAATGACTTTAGAACTGTTTCTATACTCATTAACCTGGTAGATAAAGATTGAATAACTCACTGTGACAATTACTCTTACATAAGCAAGAGAGGCAAATTCTCTGCTTTTATGGGACTTGATATGTAACAAGAAAGTGACTCATATGGTATAAGTATATTGAAGAAAACAGATCAAGAAAGATTATATTGCATAAATCATGAGGAAACGAAAAAAGAAATGGGAATCAACATATTATAGAATAGGTTATTTGTATAAAAATTCAATAAGATAAATATATAAAAACATATATATAAATTTAAAAGTATATATTTAGTATACGATGTTACATGTTCTGTGCATTAGATCATAACTTTATATCTATATACCTATATCACAGTGTCAAAGAAAATGAAAAATGTCAGCACCTTTTTGGATGATGAAAAGTGGGTGAAACTGTACTGCAAAAGGCCACATCAAAGCATTGAAGACAGCCACAGACAGAGAGATAGCATTTATAACAGACATATCTGAGAAAGTGATGGCATCCAAAACATAAACTCTCAAAACTCAACATCAGGAGAATTAATAGTTCAACTAAGGAGTAGGAAGAAGGCTTGTTCCCAAAGTCATGCAGAGGGCAACTCTGTGCTCAAAAAGAGACTACTGTTCCTTAGATACTGTGAGAGAATTACAATTTAGAACAGTGGCTAAAATACAGAGCATTGACTATATCCTCTGCTGGTGAAACAGTCAGAATTCTCATTCATTCTAGTAGGAGTAAGAAATGGGATGGCGGTTTTGGTTCTCAATTTGATAGCCTATAAATATAGAAAAATATTTTCAGAAACATAGTGAAATAATTCACTAGTCACCTAGAAAAAGAACCAAAAAGAACCAAGCACATGTACGATACATTTTAATGCAATTTGAGAAACAAGTGAACAAAAACATTCTTAAAGTTGTTCAAATTAAATACAAGATCAAGTTTTATCCACAGATATCAGTGTATAAATTCTCTACCCTTGGAAGTTATAAGATATTGAGACAAATTAATCACAATTATATGGAAAAATTGTACCTAAAACATCTGCAACTGTGACAATGTAAGTGGAAAAACACAGAATAAAGTTCTTTTCAAAACAGTAGTGAGGCTTAAAATATTTACTTGTGAATTTTTATCTCGAGTCAAGTAAACATGTTTCTAAGTTTGAAAATTAAATTAAAAAGAGAGAAAAGACACAATGTTAAGCAAATAGTATATTTACCACAGGGTTATTAAGAAATCCAGTGTGCTTAAAAAAAAAGAAAAGAAAAGAAATCCAGTGTGGGGGAAGGGAAGCCTCAGTCACTCTGGTTCCAGAGCTATCTTGCAGATCTACCTACCCAGCTGAAATAAGAAGACAACAGGACCCACCTACCCAACTGAAGTAAGAAAGAAGACAGCAAGACCCAGCAGAGAGGACTTGAATAAATGTGACTAATTCATTCTGTCAAATATTTGACAATGTGGTAAATAACATCATAGAAAGCATTCACACTCTTAGTTATCTGATAGACACATCCAGAATTACTCTTCCTTGGGCATTCTAGGCAATCAGTATACCCCCAACCCTTATCAATAGGAAAAACAGAAACACAGGTAATCTGTATGAAACTCATTAATATATCATAATAAAACAAAATGTTTTGTAAGACAAATAGTATTAATTTCAAAATCACTTTAGAAATATGAAAGAAACAAGACTCATATTTAAGTGATAATTCATTGTCTTCCATGAAAATGAAGCCCAAAACAAGTTCATAACTCAAGAAATAGCCATTAAAGGTACAAGTTTTAAATATGAAAATCCATAGAACAAAGTCTCTTTGTAAAGGTGACACATTGTCCATAGGAAGTCAGGTGACAATGGCTGAGATAATAGTGTCTGAGTGCTTTATTATAGCCTTGTAGTACTAGTTGACTTTTTAAACTGTGTGCATTTATTACTCTTTTAAGAATAAAAATAGCTAAAACAAAAGATTAAAAAGAATAATAGGATGAGTAGGAGTAAAGAATTTCAAGGTTTGACGATTTTGACAGTTCCTTACCTATGGGTACACAGAAAGTCGTTACCAGTACTGTATAGCTATTGTTGTAGCTGAGACAAGATACCAGATCCTCTCTAGGCAGAATATTTAAAGAACAAAGAGATTTTTAAGTTGGCATAATTATATTTAATAATATATATTGTTTTTACTACAAAGCGACTTCTCTCAATTACTCAAACTTTTCCAAGTTATTTGAAATACCTGAACACACAGGTATCCATGCAGCTCTGTTTCTGTGGCTCATGGCCATTCATTAGCTTTTATATTCCCTATGAAAGTACATACTTAAACGTAAAAGAGAAAAATTATATTATTCATATTATATATATCATTAAATTTCAGAACATAAATTTTTTCTGTTTGAATTTAAATTTTTTATCATTCTTGAGTCTACTTGTTATACCTATCAAGTAGTAGCATACCTTTAACACATACATTTAAATTCAAACTGTTTTTTCTTTCTCTCTCTTTTTCTGTCTCTGTCTTTCTGTATAAAAATATACATATGTGTAGTTATCTAGTGTCCATTTCAACATAGTTGTTAATTTATTTCAGTGAATTGCTTAATTTCAAACATAAGTACTATGTCCAAACTAAATTTATTTGAGAGGAGTTGGAGAATAGGGTTACTATGATTCAAAACACATATGAAATTCTCAAAGATCTAATAATTTTATGAAGTTTTTAATTTTTGGAAAATATAATTTCATCATTTTCACTTCCCTTTCCTCTCTTCAATTCCTCTCATGTCCCCATTGTTCTCTCTCAAATTTTTGGTCATTTTTTTCTTTATTTTTGTTATACATTTATATATATATACATGCATACACATATGAATGCATATATATACACACATATATATGTTATATGTATGGATACACACATATATATATATACATGCATACACATATGAATGCATATATATACACACATATATATGTTATATGTATGGATACACAGTTTTCTAGGTCTATTTCCCTTCACATTTAAGCAAAATAACTAAAATGTTCCATTTAGAAAATGTTCTGAAAAAGGATACATATGAAATTATAGATGCCTCAATTCATCATTGGATTCTGCAAATACTTTCAATAAAGTACAAGTTAAATAAAGATAAAATAACTGACTGTAGCTAGGCATAAAAGAGTAAATCTGATACAATAGGCAAATAAAATACAAAAATTTTGCATATATATAGTGAACAAAGATTTCCAAAATCATAGAGATGGCGCTGTAGTAGGCCAACAAAACACACTCGTGCTACTAAATAATTATTAATAACACAAAACAAGATAAATAGTTACAATTAAAATATATATAGGACCAGTGTGGGAAAAAAGCAGGAGCTCTCTCAGCAAGAGAGTCGGAATTTAATTTTCAATATGATACACACTTTGCATTTGTTCTTTAAAATGAGTTTGATACTATTTTTATTGTTCAGATTTCTCCAGGTTTGCTATTAGAACTTGTGTCAAGTGGTTCTTTTGTGTTTTTTATATATCCTGCATCATGTTGTTTGCTTGTTTTTATACTTCACCATTTTCTGGAACTCCACAGTAGTCCAGATTCATCCTGCATCTTTCCATTCACACTCACAGAATACATGTTTCTGGGGAGGTGATGTGCTTGTTTGTATCAGAGAATATTAGAAACTGAGGGCTCTACCTGTCTTCTCCAAAAAAAATGTTTTTCATTTTATTTGAGTTATTTTTAGAAATCCTTTCCCATTTATTTTAATTTCTCTTCCCCCCAATATTGTTCTTCTGTCAACCATTCTGTATTCAAGTCGAGATTATCTTTTACATTTGTGAACAGAGTATGAGAGTATTTTTAAATGTTATGTTATCCTTCTGTATATTCACATATTTTTCTTTTACTTACTCATATGGTACTGTTCTTCACTTGATGGCTTCTCATGATCAAGGATATTGCATTTGGAAAAATTCTGGAGAAAGTTGAATGTATAGGATTATGCTATCTTTCTTAAGAATCACG